TGCTTTTGCTATTGCATTTTTTGCTTGAATGTTGTTTTTGTCCATAAATTATTGTTGTTTTGCCCATAAAATTCTACTGTTTTACCCTATAAATTACTACTATTTTGCCCAAAAACTTTCGTTGTTTTACCTAGAAAATTTTGTTGTCTTTGCCCATAAATTGCTACTATTTTACCCAAAAAATTTTACTATTTTTGCCTAGAGATACATGTGACTTTTAGAGCTATTTTAAGTAGGGATGTCAACGGGGCCTTGTGAATGACAGGGATAGGGATCCCCGCGGGGATTTTTGACTGGGGCAGGTTTTGCTCCCCATCCCCATTCCTCATGGGCTCGTGGGGATCCCCATTCCCCACTAATTAATATCTAAATATACATTTTTTTACATCAAACATAAATCAAAATCACAGTTTCACTGAAAATTCACAATAGACTCTAGAAATTAAATAGACAACCAAGCATTCATAGTTTTTTCAATTTCTTGATTTTTTTGAGAAGCTACTACACTTTTTTATGTTATATGTGTATCATTATATGTAAAGAAATTAACTAGGCTATTCACTAATGGAAATGGCTATGAGTAGTCAATGAATCTAGCAAATTCTAAAAAATTCAGACTTTCTCTATGTTAAATCAACCCATAAAAAAATTATTTAAACTTCTTACCATTTGGATCTGTAGCTTCTAGCAGTAGGTGGAGTGGTCCGGCAGTAGAGATGGTTTAGCAGCTTAGCAGCAGTCGTAGAGGCAGTTCAACAATCCACAGATCGACTTCGACTTTGACTTTGAGTAGCAGCAGCAGTGGCACAGCAGCAGCCGTGGTGCAGCCGCGGCGGAGTAGTGGCGCAGCAACAGCAATGGCACAGCAACAGTCCAGACTCAGACGGATTTGGTTTGGAAACAACAGTCTAGACTCCAGTTCCAAGTAGAAGTGTGAGATGTGAAATAGAGAAGGGTAGAAGGGCAACAATGAAGGGATTGAGATTTGTAAGGGAGGGCCAAAAGGGAAGGTGGAAGATGACTTAAGTGAGTGTGTGTGTGAGAGAGTCCGAGGGTGAAAGGCAGAGGTAGTCACTGGAGAAATGGAGAAACAAATAAGGATACTTAGGGTTAAAAGGATTGGGTTGGGCTTTGGGGTGGGTTAAATTTGATTGAATTGGGTTTGGGTTTTAAATTTATATTAAATTTAAAATGAAATTAATTTATTTTTTTTTTAATTTTTCGCAAGGGAAAATGCCCCCATCCCCGCCTCATGGGGGTGAATATTCCTCCTTGCCCTGTCTCGTGGTGGGGATCCCCATAAGGCCTCGCGAGGATCGGGGCAAATTGCCATCCCTAATTTTAAGCATACTTTAGGTATGGTTAAACAAATTAATATGTTAATAAGGTTTCAATGGTAGAAATAGTAAGTATGTGTAGGAAGAAATTGTTTCTTTGGTTAAAAACTTGATACTGGAATTAGAAATTGATTTAGCTAAATAGGGTAGGTTGTAATCTTGTTTGTACTTTGATGTGGTATAGGTTTTAGATCACTTCCACCACCTTAAGAACTGAATTCTTGCTTATTATACAGCGACAAGGGGAGGTAAGTAATATTATGATAAATGCCCTTGCATTTTTAAGGTAAAAGGTTTTAAAAGCATATTTGAACTATTTTGAGATGGTGGCAGAACTTAACCCGATTTTCTTGAGCATGATTGGTTTGAAATGATGTTTTTATTTTATTGAGTTGAGCATGCTTACATGGAATTTACTTGATTATTTAAATGATCTAAAATTAGTTTGTGAATTATGAATTTTCTTAACTCTTGCATGGTTTTGTCTCTCATATGGTCCTGAATTTTGTTATCCTGTCAGTGGGAGTTATAAATGCTGGTGCATGTCGACATGTATTTTTGTAGGACTGGGTCATCCAGCCAGTGGGAGAGTACACTGGTACTTCTGTTATCTTGCTAGTGGGAGAGTACATTGGTATTTCTGTTATTCAGCTAGTTGGCAGAGTATACTGGCCATGACTAATTAAGGAGACCACTAAATAAATTTCAATATGCATAAATGAATTACAATTGAGATTTCCTTCTTGTTTAAAATTAAAATTTATTTGGCACACTTTAAAATTTCAGTAAGGATTATCCATATTTTTACTTATTTAGTTATCTCACGTAGTTTTTTTCCTTGTCCACCATTTTGGGTAGTGAAACCTGGGATGTGGGCAACCAAGGGGAGTGACGAGCTAAGAGGCTAGCCATTTGTATTTTGGATTTAGATTATTGTAGAGTTAGGCCACTAGTCACATATGTTTTGGACATAGATGGTGGAAGATAGTTCATTCTTTTGTAGACTAGATCCCCTTGAGATAGTTATGGCTTTATTAATGAAGTTGTATAATTTTTGTACACTCTTGACCTAGTCAAACATTAGTTATCAAACTAGATTTTATTATAAGGTTATCACTATTGGAAAACGCAGTATATTCGACAGAATTCTGTCGAATATATAGGAATTTCTGTCGATTATGCTTTAATTGATAGACATATTCGACAAAAAAAGATGTATAAAATGCAGTCGATAATCACTATATTCGACAGAAATTTTATCTGTCGAATATACTAGTTAAATCGATCGATACTTACTATCGAATATAATTATTATCGACAGAATTTTGTAACCAGTTTTATAATTTTAGCAAGTTATATTCGACAGCCATTGGCTGTCGAATATGTTTTTTATTTTTTATTTTGGATTATAATCGACAGCTAATGGCTGTCGAATATGTTTTTTTTTTTTTTGAATGCCATATTCGACAACAATAGCTGTTGAATATACTTGCCAGTAAAATAAAAAAAAATTTGAAAAATCAACAAAATCTGGAATTAAAAATCTTATATTATTTTTTGTTAATTTTATATAAAAAAATCAGTAAAACAAACACAATTATCAAATTACCTAGCAGTATATTTATCAAACAATTTTAACAATAATATAAAAAGTAATAGATAATCATAAATAAAATTAAAATTAGCATTAACTTTAATTATTTAAAAAATAAGTTACTGTTTCTATCAAAAATAACAGAAAAAATTTATATCAAGTGATAAGAATTAAAAAAAAAAAGGATAAAAAGTATAAATTACAAAATTTACCTCACATTACTTCATAATCAATGTATAAAAATCTGGAAAAAAAAAACTATTAGTATGTTAAATAATAAGAATTCAACAAAAAAAAAGAGAATAGTGAAAAGAAAAAGATGATTAAAGATAATTTATGAAAATATAAAGAGGAGAATGTAAAAGAAAAAAGAAAAAATAAAATAAAAGGAGAAGAAACTTAAAAAGAGATGTTATCTGTGGAAAAAAAGAGAAGGAGGAGGAGAAGGGAAGAGGCAAAAAAATGAAAATGAGAAGAGAATGAGATGGTCTGGTGCCGGAGTGATATTTATATGTTAAACATATTCAATAGAATTTCTGTCGAATATGTTTAAAATGTAATTAACCAGGAAAAATTCAATTTTTTTCGTGTGGTAACCGGAAAATTCAATTTTTTGGATGAGAGGCACGGGACATGGGTTATATTCGATAGCCATATTGGCTGTCGAATATACTGAGTTTTTTTTTTTTTTTTTTGGCCAGGATGTTGAAATTTTTTCTAGCTGGGAAAATTCAATTTTTTGGCTGGGGACAGGGGGGTGGGGTTATATTCGACAGCCATATTGGCTGTCGAATATAGTTACAATTTTTTTTTTCTCTTTAACTTCATTTTTTTTTATTTTTTAATCCTTTTATTTCAACAAATATACCATCTCTTTTAACTAATTAATAATTTGATTTATCTAATTATTT